TGCTGTAAAAAGAAATAACAAGTAATTAAAAAACAACAAATTAAGATGGTAAAAGAATAATATTCTTTCTTTAATATTCCACTATCACCATTCGGTTTCTAGACTGAATAATATCTGTTCGATTCAACTTTGGTTTCACCTAACAAATGATGACCTGTGCAGATACTAATTGGTGGTTTTCTGGCAAATAAGCTGTTATTAGCAAATAATACAAAGCAATTGGCACATCGCCAATAGAACTTTGTAGTCAGTGATTTCTGCTATATGCATCTTCTAAGGCCAATGAAATTTGCATTAGTCGAATTTTGTCAGGTAACTTAAGACCTGTACTTCCAAAGTTTACGATTTTAAGTATTGGGAGCACGAATCAGGCGCACTACAACCTTCCTGTGACTCAGAGGTTGTGTTTCAAGCGATTCTTTTTTGTGTATATATGCTTCTTGAGTCGAGTTGCTAAGATTTAGGTTTTCTGACAAAAGAGCAATGAATTTTACAGTCAGTTGCTCGTACAGCATACATCTGGTGAAGCTTCTAGATTTCTCGTGTTATTTTTTGGAATAAAAAGCACCTGTGACCAGGGAGCATATTTGGTAAACAGAACTCCAAAGCCTAAAGAAGAGAAATTCTAACATGAAAGTACCCCCGTTAAAGAAATGTGTTACGTACTTCTAAACAACAGAAGTATGAAAAAGCAGTGGTGTTCTAGAGTTATTTGTATTTGTGGGGAGTTGCGGTTTGTTGATGATGGTGAGGAATATTGTCGTTGGTCCTTTTGTGCCTTTTTAGGTTTTTCTAATTGCAATGTTGTTTGATATTCTTGTTACTTAGTGATTAGAAAAGTTAGTCAGGTTTATGTAGATGTAGTGATAAACATCTTTCAACTACTCTTCAGGTCTGTTTCCTTATTACTCTTTCTGTGCTTTGCTTTAATTAATTCTCGTATCCGATAGCGAATGTGATCTGCGATTGATGAGTAAACATTATAAGAAGTATTGTGGGAAACGACTTTGTTAGTTTGTCCGGTGCTCCTGATCGGTATTGGTCGATGTAGCTAAATAGTGTTTTATTCGAACACAAAATTTATTGTATTAGTTTATAATCAGCGTAAATAAATGAGATACTGGGATGTTGGATATAACAGACGACACCGACTTGGATGCGTCACAGACTACTGATAAGGAAGAAGATCCTAATGACTGGCTATCTTCTTTGCCGGATAATGCTGGTAAAGTCCGTGACATATCGTTGCAGGCATTTTGGACTTTGTCAAGTTGTAAGACTGGTTAGTACTTGCCTAATTTAAGTGACTCTCTAGAACTGGAGATGTCGGTCTGCTTTTAACTGATTTGGTAATTAGCTAAGCCATATAGTTATATAAGCTTTTTGAGTCACTTTGGCGTAGTGGGAACATGACTTTATAGCAGTAATTTCGATAACAAACTCCTCTCTTTACTTCACTTTCTTTCTTCTTGTTTCTCCTCTATTTGTGTACTAATTTTGGTCTAAAATTAAAAAAACAGTTTTATTTAAAATTAACAGATGGGTTTGGAGTTCATCAGTTACTGGAAGACAGCGTTGACCAGTACTGGCAATCGGATGGTCCTCAGCCTCACACTGTAACTGTCGAATTTCGAAAGAAAACCGACATTTCTTTTTTGCTGTTGTACTTGGACTACAAGACAGACGAGTCGTATACCCCGAGCAAGTCCGTTTTGTTTGTTTATAGTTATGATTTGTACAAAGTATTCTTAACCTGTTGAATTGAACGTAATCTTATAGTTACTTTTTGGCATTGGTTATGCTTTTCAGGATAACCGTTTATCTTGGTTCATCTATTCTTGATCTCGATGATGGTCTGACAGTGATGTTTTCAGAACCTGTGGGATGGCAAGTAAGTTTCATTTTTATAATTCCTAAACTTTTCTGCGTAACGTTTTTTGCCGCAGTTGGAAACCGTTTTTCTTTGTGAATCTTTATATTTTACTGTTTTGATGATAAAATGTTCTTGCTGTAGCTTTACTGTTTTACTTGTCTTCTCATTCTGTCACTTTTATATTTTTTTTGAAAAAGATGTTTTACTTTTTTTTTTTAGGTCGTAGATTTAAGACACTTACGGTATCGTTCGGAGAAACGGCCTGCAAGAGCATCTGTTCTTCAACTTCAGGTCACTCAGAACCATCAGAATGGAAGAGATACTCATATTAGGTGTTATTTCCTTTTCCTCTTAAATTTAATTTTAAGTTTCTGGAACTTCGTTTGCATTTTTCAATGAAGTCTTATCAGGAATTTTGTTTCCAAAAATTTTTATTTTGTCAGTGTTTTCTTTATCGGGGGAATGTTTCAGACAAATGAAAATTCTCGGTCCTGGTCGTACACAACTAGACACTGACGCGAGAGCTTTGGTGGCTGCTGGAGCTGCTTTCAGTAATATGCCTTTAAAATTTACTTCATCAAAAATGGCTAGTTATATAAGCTTTCGATGACGATTTTGTAAATATTTTTTGGTTAGAATTTTGAAACTTTTTTACTGCTTTCATCTATGAGTTTGACATGTTGCTTTTAATAATTTTGATGTCTCATTTTTCTCGTTACCTTGTTTTGCTGATTATGCTTTTTTGCATGCTTTTAAAATCTTGACTGCAAGACTAGAGCACCGGGTTCACTAAACTTTGTGCTTTACTTTTTTGTTGTTGATTTCTGTTTTTGACCTTTACGTTAAACTTTATGTAGTTGTTTTGTCACTTTTTTCGGGGGGGGGGGGGTTGTGCTGTCTTTTCAACACCTGGCTATTTCCTTCTTGATGCCTTCTTTTTGCTTACAAAGGTTGTTTGCGAGATTTAGAAAGTAACGGCGTCAAAGAAGTTTTTTGTTCAGTATGGAGTCTGTTCTTTTTTAATACGTTGTAATTTTAAAAAGTAGAATTGGTTTCAGTAGTGGAAAAAGTAAATCTGTTCTATATTTTCTTTGTCGTCGTAATCTAAGGATTTTATATGGGCTCTGAGTAATTTTTATTTATGGTTTGTTTAAGCATTAGCGCTTCTTTTACCAGTCTGTCAACATGTTCCCGCTTTTCTTCAATCAGTAAATTTAAAAAGCTACCTACATTGGATTTTATGCTTTGATGTTGTAAGTTGGTAAATTGTAGAGGACCTCATTTTGGTAAATAACTTGGCTAATTAGATAATGGAAGCGTCGCAAAGGAGTTTTTAATTTTCTTTAACTAAAGTAACCTCTGCCTAATGGATTAGACGAAGAATAAAGAGTTGCTGGGATTCCTGGGAATGGACAGGATGAAATTCAAGATAAAATTAATATTAATAATGGTACTTGGGTATACTTCGCGGAGGTATATTTTTCGTACAGTTACTTGTTGCAGTGGTTTTATTTGGACACTTTTTACCTCAGCTTATACTCAATTTATGTTACCTGTTTCAACTGCTTCATATTCGGTAAGCAAAAGAGAATACAAGAATTACTTCTGGAGCGTTATCGTGGGCATAAAGGTGGAATTTATCCACTTTTATAACGACGTTGACTACTTCAAAAAATAAGAAGTTTGTTCTTGCTGAGCATGACAATCTCTGTTGGTTGGATGTAATAATTTTTGCTGCTTTTGAACACAGCTGAGTAACTTGCAGCTTTTCAATAGGAATTGAAAAAAGTCAGTGCAGGTAATAACGATCAAGTTAAACTGTCCTAATGTTTTACTATATTAAGTAGAACGTTGTTGTCACAAATCACATACTTCACAGCTTCCTACATATCATCTGTTTTGAATGGGCTTTGACCCGAGCAAGAAGACCTACGGCATAGCTAGCAAAAATTACGGTGTTGAAAAGTCTTAAGAGTAAAAAAAAACGAACGCCTGATTCACATTAAACTCATAGATACTTTCTAAAATATTGATACTTTCTAACAAATTTTTTTGACGATAAAAGGTAAAAAATGGATGATTATTGGTGCTGTTTCTAAAACTGAGACTGTCTGATTTTAACGCTTTGAAATGTGTTTTCTAGTTCAACAAAAATATCGTGTTAAAGAAGGTTTTGGTCTCAGCTAAGGTGTTTAGAAGACTGATAAAGATTTACTCAGCATAATTGGGGACTCAGCATAATATTTAAAACGAAACAACTATTACCGATAACTCTTGTTGTAAGTTTTTTTAATTTGGTGCTTATTTCGCTTTAATTGAAACATTCCCCTGCACTATGTACATCCCGAACACGTCGCATCTGATTTCTTGCTGAGCAAACACTATGTCATCAGCAGCTTGAACCGCCTGAATAATGACGTAGTCAAGCAGCAGAAACGTCAACTCGATGGGCCACTGGTCATGTACCAAACAATAAGGAAGTACCCTGTGGAAAACCCGGAAACGATTTATGAATGTGTGTAAATATATGTAGATATTCTTTTCGACAGTTTCTTGTGATTACAATAACTGAAGACACTACAATGACCACAGTTGTTTTATCGTTACAAACGTTACTTTTACGGAATTCAACTATTTTTTTAATGAAAGTCAAACAACCGAGCAAATGACGGCTCTTCATAAAACAGATCTTTTCTTAAGGAAGAGGAGTCTTATAAACACTGTCAGAATCCTACCGCTTTTTCCAGCGAACTGCATACGCACACACACACAAACAAAAAAAAAACAGATATATATATATAT